GAAATTAAAAATTAGAAATGATTTGCAAAAATTTTCTTCCACTTACCAGGTTAAGAGTTACTTTTTCATGTGGACTGAGCCCGAGATATCGTTGTTGTTTCTCCTAAACAAAATTTGACAATTAAGAGTAACCAGCTCAAAGAAGACCAACAAACAAAGTGATTCATCAAATACATAAACAAAGTGCGAGGGGAGAACATGTAAAAAAAAAAAAAAGATTTATTTGACGACATTTTAAGAGCATGTTAGTAAGTTGCTCCTTAGCACACTACATGACATTTGTATCGTTTTTCAACACGACCACGCGGAGTTTAAAATGCTTTTTCAGCCTTTCCTTGCAACACCTTAGTTTGCTGTAAAACTGCTAAATCTCTTCCTGTAGTGATTAAATATGCGGTATCGGCGATCATGTGTCAGCTTCCTAAACTGAACTGTAGTAAGAGACACATTCATGTCATTTACGTCTTAACATCTTTCTCCCGCAGTTCACAACTAAGATCTTTCATATCACTTGCATTCTTCACCATCTACGGGTATATTACGAACTCAAAACGAGACCAGCTCCCAGTTGGCTTGATAGCTCAGTTGGTAGAGCACTGCACCAGTATAGGAGAGATCATGGATTCAAATCCCGCTCAATCCTAATTTTTATTCCGGGCTTTTTTATTCCCACATAACTGCGATAATCATTTATGTCTTTATAGGAAAATAAACAGTTATGTGTTCAACCCGCCGTACGAGTCCCTTGTGGAACTAAGACACCACTTACCCTCTGATTGAAAGCCGAAAAGGGATCCAACCTTTGTTCATATTGTGACGAGTATCTGCTGACTGCAGCTTCTTCGTCCCGACCCCCAGCACCCTAAGTTAAAATGACAAACACTTAGAAACTTAAAAACTATTTCTCTTTTCTAGCTCAGTTCCACACACAAAAAAATCATTTCTAGATATTATCGTGACCCATAGATAACTGTTCAATTTGTTAAGAAACACTCAAAACATGTTAAAACTCGTTAGGAAGTGACAATGAGAATCAACGGCGCAGATGGACACAGGTGACAACATGGTCAAACTTACAAGTGCAAAGTGCAAGTGCAATTTTCTAACGTACAAATTGAGGGAGAAGTTTATCGTTAATGCTCACACAAGGCATCGATAACTACTTATCAACCGAAAGTGAGGTCTTTACGGGAAAATCTCAGACCGAGACCTTGGTGTACTTTTTGCTTTGGTTTTGCGGGGCCGTAATCGGCCCGTGGGCGTTACGGGGGAATAATACCCTAGAATTAGTCAATCAGAGCGCTCGTTATATCGGCTACAAACACAAGCAATATAATAATTCCCTTATCTGACTGTTAGCAGATCTCTCATAAGTTGGTGTCTAATTTTTTTGGCTCGTGCCATTTTTCAGATTTCATTCGATTTTAACACAAAGAAATTTCTAAACAGCTGACAAAACGTTACCTTAGTTGGGTAGCTCTGGAGAAACTTGATTTTCTCGTATAATTTCACGTTATCCGACCGCAAAGTGTCCACCTCGTTTTGTAACACACTGATCTGTTGCTGGTTATGGCGTAGTTGCTGAAAAACCAAACAGCAAGATCTGTCTTCAAGTGAAGTTAAACCTACATTTTCTGCATTTTTTCCATTTGCAGGGAGCTCTACTTGAGAGTGTATTTTCAGCCGAACATGCAAGTGAAAAAACAACTGAAGGCTATTCGTCAGCAGGGCAAGTAACTGTTCGCGCTTTCCACAACTTTGTTTCCCGCGTATGCCAGCTGTAGTCTCTCCACAGACGGTTTTTTTTGCTTTCCCCAGGGCCATCGCCTTGCGTTTTTGCTTTTTCAAATCCCCTGCGATTAATGCTTTTGCTTGCGATCTCAACGGACACAGGACAAAATAGAGCGGCTGTGTACAGACTATGCCAGCCACGGTTTTCCCCACAGCTTCAATATTTCCCCGCGTTTTCTAAGGGTCCAACATTTTCGCGCGCCTGTCACAGGTTAGAAGCTTTCCCGCGCCTACCATTGGTTACACAGTTTTGCATATAGTTCTGATTGGCCATTCGAAATATTACGGTCAACCGTGGGTAGCTCTTGGCTTAAGTTCCTGGCAATCGAGCGAAACCATGTTGACAGGGGAGTTTTCGAGTTACTTCCGAAACCAAACACGCAGATTTGCAGAACTGTGAAATTGGTGCAACGAAACTCGTGGAAACTTTCCCGCAACCTATCAGGCGCTAGCAACAACAAAAAACAACAATATATTCATTTACACGAGCTTACTACTCACTGCTTCTAACTCCATATTTCTGATTTTAAATCTTTCTCTCTGGCTTGCTACAATGGGAAGAATAGATTCCATTGCGACGTTCTCCCCTGATAAACCAACTGTGACAAAAAGAAAATTGTAGATAAACACATTACCAAAATAGCGCTGCTATTAATCTGTATCATCAAATGGGTCAATTCGGTTCCCCTATAAGCGCCTAATTAACGCGACAGCAGTTGGCTTCAAAGGTGGATGGGACAATGTTAACAGCATTATTTGCTTTGCTTGTGTGGAGGCGCGGTGGCCTCAGGGTTAGTGCGCTCCCCTCCGGGACCAGCAGTCGACAAGGTTCGAGCCCTGGCCGCGGGTCGATGCTATGTGTCATTGGGCAAGGCAGTTTACTCTCACAGTGCCTCTCTCCAACCAGGTGTATACATGGGTACCGATAAATTTAATGCTGGGAGTAACCCTGCAATGTTTCATGCTACAGAAACTATGAGAAGCTCCGGCTGTAAGGACCACTGGCCTGACGCAGACATTTCTATAGCACCAGATCAATTATAACCTCTGCTGTACTTGTATTGCATACGTATCCTAAATGATCAACAGTAAAAATTAAATAGTACCTGATGGTGCAACGGCTTGTTGTACTGCATTGGAAACAAGTTCTTTCTCTGAAGGAGGCCCTGCCTCACCCTGTGATAAATAAAACGGCACGACAATAAACCTAACTTGTACCGTGGTTGATAACTTGGTTAAG